CACTATATTCAGTATGAAATTATTTTTCCTCAAAAAATAAACAAATACATTGTGACAACTATGTCTATAATGTCCCAATTCTTGGTATCCTCTCTCCCTTAGAAATAGGCAAAAAAAACCCCAAAATTAACTAAAAATAACTAATTCATAACTCCTCAATTCTCTGCAAAACAATTCTGAGATTTTCCTCTCTCAAGCTTTTCTCTTTCTCATTCTCTCTGCCTTTCCTCTCAGTAACAAGCTACCTTTGCCTCTGACTTCCATTCCCTTAATATTCAGTCTAATCTTCTTGATTACAGATCACGCTGTGATGTTTTCAGGTCAAACCAAGTGACATTACTGAAAGACTTGTTTGGCAAATGAAAAAGTTTAGCTAGTGCCAGTTATAAAGAAAATTAAATTATTTATGTAAATGGCATTAGAAAGCACTGTTACGACGTTAATGTCCTTCCTTCACATGACAATGGCAGCAATCTTCTTGTTTATAAGGTTAAAATTATGCCACGGAACACTTCAGAAAAAGGAACTAAAAATTAATCAGCACACCCATTATAACCATAAGGTCTCCAGCTGAGCACCTTTTATATTTTGGAATTAATTCACACTTCTACACTGTCAGGTGAACGCTCATGACAGAAGCTATCAAAATTCTCTACTGCCACCTGCAATCATATGGGGAAAATAACCCAAAATCATGTACCCAAAGGTACTGGCAGTGAAATACTAGTGTTTTCTTCTAATCACTTTCATGACTTGCAGAGTGACACATTCACATTTTCAAGCATGAAGTCCAGAAACTTTCACTGGAAAAATAACCCAGTATAGCAAGATAGTAACAAAATACTGGTAATTCCAGTATGAGTAAGGAAAAAAAAAAAATCAAGAGAAAAAAAATCTATTTTTCTACAAGTTCCTATTGTTTAAAATTAGCATAGCACACATATTTGGACTAGATGATCATAATGGTATTTTCCAACCAAACTATTCTATGATTCTATAATATGCAGAATCTAGAAAATAATTTTGCACCTTGACAATTATATGTGTTTAAAAAAAACCCTCAGCAGTCTACTACTTATTGCCAGAAGCTTATAAGAACCTTCCCATCAGAAACATTTCTAAAGCACAGCTAATATTACACCATCTCACAGGTGACTGAAGGAAGAATCTGAAAAAAACCAAAAGAAAATAGAAAACAAAAAACCCCAAACCACTGATAGATACAGAGCAACAAGAGAAAGGAGAGAACAGAACTGTAAAAGAAGTCTATCAATCAGGATAAAAGTTTGCATAACAAGAATAAAAGATTTTCATAGATATGTTTCATTTGGTCACCATCCAAACATGAACATTTTCTGTTATAACAATGAAGTATCCACATCAGTAGACTGAAGATATCACGGATGAGTCATTCACCTTTACCACAGGGAGATCAAAAACTTCACGAGATTCTCCAACTTCTGGGTTGTCCCCATCTTCTGAAATAATATGTGAAGCCAGTGCATTGTAAGAAACTTCCTTTGCTTTCCCAGCTTTCAGAAGCTGAATAACCTAAACCCAAAAGAGAACAGGGAGAAGTCAACAATTTTTATCAACTTTTGAGAAAAACGTTAATGCAAGAACACACTAACACATGACAGGAATTAATATGACCTTTATTCTTGGTTCCCCTAGCACTCTTTTTGAAGTTGCCAATTGCATCCCATCCCATTTCAAACCTGATCACCCATGGTTTACACCTCTGCCATATTTTAATCTTACAAGTTGAAGATTTACTTTCCAAAATAATTCAGGTTGGGGCAGAAATCTGGAAAGTGTCAACATTTTTCCAAAACACACATTCCTCAAAAACATCTCAAAGTAATTTTCTCTCAGGCAGGGTAAGGAAACCCTTCTCCCCAGTATATTTGCTGTGTTGGATTTTTTTGGTTGTTGGGGTTTCTGGGGTTTTTTTTCGTTTGTTGTTGTTGTTTTTTTTTTTAAATATGGTCACTTTGGAAGCATTAAAAGAGTTTTAAGTTTTAAAAAAGGTAACATAAAAGTTACCTTAGAAAAGGTAACATCATGACTGCACGTTGCAGTCTTCATAGGGATTCTTCAGGTTTGGCCAGTTATTTACTTGGATAGAAAAAAATTATGTTCATGCATTTTCTGTAAATACTCATTTAACAGCTAAGGAAAAAAATTTCACCTTCACCAAATGCATTTGGCTCCAATATTTCTAGATCCAATCAATATACCTCATCTGAGAGCATATGAGTAAGTCTGAAGAAGCTGTCCAGCTGCTCCAAAACAATGCAGCCAGACAGAAGAACCCAGGATAGAACATGTTTAATAACCCCTTAGTATTAGAAGGAGCTACAAGCAAAAAAAAGTTGTAATCACTGCCTTGAGGAGGGAAACCATTCTAACAAAGAGTTGATGTACTGGGAAAAGAAGCGATGGAGGACAAAGAGTGACTTAGAGAAATAAGAAACAAAGTAGGACACATGCCCCCTCAGTTACTACCTTAAAGAGCTGGAATGGAAATGTTTCACTGTCCTGGGAAAATGCAAAACATCTCACAGCTCACGAAGCACATCTTACTGCTGTTTTTGCAAGGCCCATACAGAAGATGTTGGTTTAAGAGTTCAACTTTATCTCAGCTCAACTGTAGAGATCTATGTAATAATCCAGCCCTGCCCCTCCAACAAGACTTCCTTCTTTTGTAATAGAAGTAACACGAGGTAGTGAGGTGTAGAGAGGAGGAAGAGAAAAAAGTTTTAAAACAACAAGGTCTAGAGTTCAAATGTTAAAAATGCCAATTCAGATTATTCTTTCCTTTTTCCTTTTGTTATTAAGAAATCAGCAGTTTCACTTCATAATGATTGTACAGAACCAAAATAGTATGATGTTCATCCTCCAAAACCTGCCAGGGACAAATGTCTACCCCTCAAAACCAGCCAGGGACACTCCCTTTGGAACAGGACGCTCTCCCCACAGCAGTGAACAGCAGAGAGCAAGGCACTGCATTCATCAAACAAAATATTAAGTAATTGGTCCTTAAGCAATTACTACCGACCCTGTAGACTGAACAGGACAGAGAAGGCATTGAAAAAGACTTCCAAAACGTGTCATCAGGCTATTATAAAGCATCTATACTAAGCAGAAAAATAAGGATGGAGAAGTTGCCACTCAGTGAGGAGACAAATTTGTCATTTCCTGACTGAAGTACTTGACTTTAAAATTTAATAGTAATAAAAAAAAAAAATAAACTGTTTTCTGCAGTGGATGAATACGTGATATTATCAAATTACAAAAGAATTACTCTAAAATAGCCAAGAAAATTGATTCCAAGCTTGCTGTTCTTGCCGCCACACAGTCAGGAACAGGAGAGAATGTTTGTTTCCATTTTACGCACCAATCTCTCAAATCATGGGCTACCTTCCTGCATGAAATTCAGTTTATTGCAAGGTAACACGAGATGCTCTAATTCCAACGGGAAAACCTAAATCAAAATGAAGCACTTTTGAAAACAGTGGGTATTTAATAACAGCTCCACCACACAAGCTCTGTCTCACACAGCTCTCCCTGAGTTACAAGCCCCACTGAACTGTTTGGTTAAGGGAAAGCTAAAAACAGGAGTGAATGTAATGAAAACTGAGCACCCAAATCTGCCAGACAGTGCCAGAAAGAAGCTACAACTAATGAGTTACAAGTATGAATTTTTTTTTATATCAAAACAATACCACATTAATGAATCTGTGCAGAGAGCCTGCTTATACATAAAGTTACACTAGTTTCAGGTAGCAAGTTTAAACACTATAAATATGATAGATAATAAATTCATATGACTATTTAAAGTCATACGAAAAAGACTTTTCCTAATTTAGCTCATGTCAACTTCCAAGCTCCTCTCAGAACACACAACTTATTCAGTTTAAGTAGTGCCTGGGCTGAGAAGTTGTATTGGCACAATTAAAGAACTTCACCTGTACCAGTATCAACCATATACCTGTAACTAGAAAATAAAATGCTGAAAAGCCCCAATATGATCATTGTAAAAATCCTGCACTTTAGGTGTTAGCTTAAATCCATTAAACTAAATTTCATTCTTTTGGGCATATACACTTTATCTTTGTTCTCTCCCATTAAAATCTGTGTTGGAAGAAACAAGAGGAAAAGTTCAAAACTAAGAAGTAAGACAATGGATTAAAAAAAAAAAGTTAAATAATAATAAAAAAGAGATAACAAAAAAACAAGTATCTTGCTCAAAGTCCTTAAGCTGCATTGCATTACTTTTTATCTCTTTCTGTATGAAATGCTGATTTTAACTGGTGTTACCAAAGCATGATGGTTTGGGTTTACATCTTTTAGGAAAGCAGAAAAAGCATTTATTAAAAAAACAATAGCTTACATCTACTCCTCACCCCTGGTTAGGTGTGAGCAGCCAAGTGCACATCCCAATGGAAGGGATTGGAAGTCGAGAGCCAGCAGCCTCATTCTCCCTCATTTGCCAAAGAATATCTAGGCACAATTCCAGACTTTTGTTTCCCTTCTAGTTTATGCTGCATATGTTTTAATAGGTAGTGGCTATGCAGTTATTCACCTGATTACTTCTTTTTTTTTTCCTTACTCTTGGACTTGTTTTGATTAGAGTGCTCACTTGTGCTAGGCCTGTTTTAATATTTATTAAGACAACTGATCTTCCATTTGGAAATATAAGCAGATCAAAGTGTGCTCCTTCCCAAAAGGTGAAGGGGGAAACTTCTCTTCAAAATCAAGCTTGCATCTGTTTGTATACGAAGAAGTAAAAAGCACCAAATAAATACACTTGTAATTTTTATATTAATGATGGAACAACTTTTTTTTTTAAAAAGGTATTTGTGGAGTTCAATTTAGAATTTCTCCTTTCTGTCTCGTTTCAAAACACAACCAGTAAATATCCCTCTTGGTGGGTTGTTCCCAGGGTACCACAGAGGGCATTTGCAGAAGGGAAGGCAAAAGGCACTCACAAGGAGCTGGCCCCAAGCTCACCACAACACACTTGCTCCCACAAACCCAGCTCTGCAACCCAAGCCAGGCAGATGCTGCCCCGGTGCCTCCTGCTCCCAAGGGCTCACCAGTGCAGGCACCAGCATGGACAGGAGCAAGCCCTGGCCTCCCTGTGACCCTGTGCCATGCCAGCAAGCCATTTCAGAATCCAGAGCACCAGAGGGAACAGTTTTTAAACAGGCCAGCCAGCTGCAGAAACAACTCAGATGCACAAGACTTCTCAATTCGGGCATCACTCATGATGAGAAAGTGGCTCAACAGTTTCCAGCATGACCTGGCCTTGGAAGCAGCGTAGCCACCTCTGTGCAGTGCTGTGTTGTGCCTGACCTCATCAACCCTGCCAAAGCCACCTTCTGAGTCTGCCTGCAGCTAAGGGAAGTCATCCACAAATAAAGGAGAATTTAGTGTATCTAATTTAGAGCAAAACAAAGCCTTAAAAGAATGACACTAACTGCTAAGAAGAATAAAACTTAACATAAGAAAGAAAACCAGCTTAAGAGAATGCTTGTTTACTCACTCTAAGGGAATACTGCTGATTGCTATGTCAACACAAAACTAACTACATGCCTTTTGGGACACTATTTATATGATAAATGGTATACAAGAGTCCTATTGGGGTTTTTGCACTCCTCTTCATACTCACAATATTGCTGCTATAGGCTTTATTTAAATACAGGAGTTGTTATTGAAGCTCTAACACATTAGCAAAATTTTTGTCTAAAGATGTTGGGGTTTTTTTCCTGCTCTTTAACTGTCTTCCTAGACTGTGCTTCTCTCAGCATATAATCCTAATCCTATGAATAAAAACTATCTCAACAGGTCAGCACCTAAATCTCAGATTCACTTAAAAGTCCCACAAGACTCACTGAATGCCAGGACATGAGATTAAAGGAACTCAATGCTGAGCTAAGATTTGAATGCAGCAACTCCCAAAGCAGCGAAGACTTGAGTGCGAAACACGCAGTAACGTGTTTGCAGGAAGGTGCTGTCCTGAAGCTGGACACGGTAACACTTCAAACGCTGCTCGAACTGCACACGCCACAGGAACTCTTTTTTAAACCACCTCCACCCAATGCGACCGGGTGTAACTGAGTAAGGCCGAGTCCATCACTGGGGCATTGCCCCAGGCCAGGGCAGGCCGAGCTGCTCACCCAGGCACTGCCCCAGGCCCGGGGATGGACGGTCATTTCTCAGCGCCTTCCTCTGCTCCTTCCCTGCTCTGGATCAAGGCAGGGAGAACACGAGACGGCACCTC